CACCTGCTTGAAGGCTCTTGACTGGGCGGGACCCCATGTCCAGGCTCGGGACTTCCCTAGGAGTTCTCGAAGGGGTTGAGTGAGCTCAGCCAAATTGGGGGTGAACTTCCCTAGCTGATTTGCCATCCCTAGGAATCGTCTGACTCCCGCGACTGTCGTTGGTTGTTGCATCTCCTGGATGGCTTCGGTTTTGCTTGGGTCAGCCCTGATCCCATCTGCATCGATGACGTTTCCTAGGAATCTGAGCATTCTTCTGTTGAACTCGCACTTTGAGGGATTCAGGGTTTCTCCTGCTTCCTCGACTCGTCTGAGGACTGTTTCCAACCGCTGGTTGTGCTCAGCGTCGTCCTTGCCAAAGACAAGGATGTCGTCCATGTGACATAGGACTCCCTGGAGACTGGTGAGGAGCTCGCTCATTCTGCGCTGAAAGTGTTCAGGAGCGCTCAAGATGCCGAAAGGGAGCTTATTGAAGCAGTAGCGTCCCATGGGTGTGATGAACGTTGTTAGAAGGCGTGATGGTTGTGAGAGGGGGATTTGCCAAAATTCACTGTTTGCATCAAGTTTTGAAAAGACCTTGGGCTCCAGCTAATTGTGCCAAATGTCTCATCCACCTTGGGGAGTGGGTGGACTTCCCTCAGCACACTCAGGTTTAGTGGCTTCAGGTCGACACAGATTCTGATGCTGTCGGATTTCTTGAGTACTACAACCATGCCGGCGCACCATGGAGTAGGCTCAGTAACTTTGGAGATGATGCCTACCTTTTCCATTTTCTCCAACTCCTCCGCAACTTTTGGGCGAAGGGGGAGGGGAACGTGTCGTGGAGTGAAGAGGGCAGACTATCTAGCATCAGGTTTGAGTTGGATTTGGTAATCTCCTGCCAGTGTTCCTAGGCCTTTGAAGACCTTGGGGAATTTACTCTCCCAGCCTGGTAAAGTGGTTTCACAGGAGTCCATCCTGGCTGCCAGCTGCAGGGTGGTAATGGCGGGAAGGCCTAGTACATTGGTCTGGAGGTGGTTTACTACATAGACTTGCTGGTGAGCTTCCTTCCCTTCATAGGTGAGGTGACAACGGAACTGTCCTAGGGCTTCTAAGGGGTGTTGAGCTGGTCCAAAGAGCTGTTGACGGGATGGTTGGAGTGCTCGTTTCCCTAGCATCTCCCACACTTTCTTGGAGACAGCTGTCACTTCGGCGCCAGTAAATTCCCCAAGGCACCGTTGATAGTGATGTGGGCAATCCAGGCGTTCTTCCTGCTACTCGACACGGTGTCTAGATACGCGGATGCAGGGGTGTCGTCGTCGTCGTCTTTGTCTTGGATCGATGATATTTCTCGCTTGCGGCACTGTGCGCTGTAGTGTCCTTGGCGTCCGCAGTTGTGGCAGTTTGCGTCTCTTGCGGGGGCATTTCTCACGCGAATGTCGCTCTCTGCCGCAGCGGCCGCACTTTTCCTCCGCTTTGTCTCTGTGTTGTATTTCGCTGGCGAGGAACGGATGAACTTGCTCGTCGCTTGGCTCCGGCGGCAAGCGGTTTCTCCTTACGTTGCGGGCGTATGGCGTCGACGTCTGCGTTCGCCGCCTTGCTGCTTCCGTTCAGGGTTTGCTGCTGCTCATGGACTGCCTCTCTCTGACGAATCGCTTTTTTCGCTGTGTCGAAGGTGAGCTTTGGGTCCATCTGCAATTTCCCGGAAAGCGCCATATCTCGGATGGCGACAACTAGATGGTTCCGGATCATTTCGTTGGTCATGTCACCGTAGTCGCAATTTTCGGAGTGCTCGTAAAGCGCCACAATATAATTTTCGGCTTCTCCATTCAGCTGGTTCCTTCTATTGAACCGCGCGCGTTCGTAGATCATGTTCTTCCGAACCTTGAAGTACTCGTCGAACTTGCTGATGATGCTCCATAATCCTCCTCCGTCGCATTTGTGGAGGCAAGGACACTCTCCACCTCCTCCCCTAGGCAGTAAAGGAGGGTGCTGATCTGCTTGGCTGCTGAATCGCCACTGAGTCCGGTGTTTCGCGAAACTGCTGGAATCGACGTCTCCAGCGTGGGCATGCACCTGGGTGCGAGGTTGAATCGGTCTGGGGCAGTAGCTGAATCTGTGCCAGCCCGACGCTGCACCATGTGGGTTGTCTCAGGTTATAGTGAATTGATATTAGATCGCGAACCTGTCTTACTTACAGCATACAGGGTCTTTATAGTAAGGCCTACAGTGATTATTAGCATGCCTGGGTAATGACGATAATACTACAAGTGTCTAGTAGCACTCTATATACACTACTGCTTCTGGGGCGGGGAGGAGGGAGTGGCCGATACCGTTTCGTCTGCCTCCCGATACGGTCTCCTGGAGTGACAGTATCAACTGTGTGCTAGCGGTCGTGTCTGCATTGAGTCTGCCTGGTGTGTCTCACACGCTTCCCTCTGCGACTCCTCATCTTCGCTTTGTCGAGAGTTAGCTCGGATCTAGCTGCAGCTGAGCCGAAAGGCTGAGTCTTTTGGTTCTCTACGACGAGCCGATCCTAGCATCTCATCGCGAGGACACCATAGTTACAGTTATAGTTAGAGTAGTGTTGTTGACTGGCGTAAGTAAGTAACTATTCGATGACTGTGCTATGGTACAACACAGTGAGTATTTATACCCTAAGTACAGTAGGAAGTGGGTACGCTCCCATAGAAGAGGATAAAGGAAGGGTGTGAATATGTGCTAAGTATTAGTATGCGAATTTCCTATGTAGTCAATACAGAATAAGGCCATAGTCATCGGTCAATGGTGGTGGCAACGAGTGACCATGTCACATCAACCAGTGACGCACAGACAAAAAGATTATTCTCGGTAGTGACCAGTGCAATCGTGACACTATTCACGAGATATAGTGCAAAACTTGTCCTGGTCTATCGGAATCAGAGCAAATACATCTGCCAATTGAGCTAAAATATACAAGTGGAAAAATCATTTCTTCAAAATGAAGGGGGATGTAGGGATGGCGTGAATTATGAAAAAGGATGCCAACAAGAAGATGCTTCAGCCGACAACAAAAATCATACATCCATCCCTACATCTTTCTTTCTTTTGCTCTGTCTAAGAATGTGTAGCTAGGCACTCGTTATTGGGAGTAGCTAGGTATAATATTATAAAACACAGTTGAGGTTGTGAGTTAAAGAAAGATGTAGGGATGGATGTATGATTTTTGTTGTCGGCTGAAGCATCTTCTTGTTGGCATCCTTTTTCATAATTCACGCCATCCCTACATCCCCCTTCATTTTGAAGAAATGATTTTTCCACTTGTTCCACTTATTTTTAGCCTACACTGAGCCCCACCCTTTAAGCGGAGCAGAGCGGCGAGCGAGGAGCAGCAGGGTTCACACCCATGTGTGTGGAGATTTATGCACTGCAGATTTGTGTGATTTGAAGATTTGATCTCACACACACTCGCAGTGCATTATGGGGGCAGGGGCGATGTCCGTAACGTTGTTTGCAATTTTGCATGATTCTTGCATGAGAGACTAGTGGGCGCATGCGCAAGTATAAAACTAACCCAACATTCATTGTACAATATGCTTTGTTGTGAATTGTGAAGGAAAGTTTTTTTCTTTAGGAGAGGTCTATTCCAGCTGAAGTGAAAGGTGTAGAGGCCAAATCAGGGGTATATAGCTAGTAGCAAGCAGGCAGTAGGAGCCAGAAGTTTGCAGGGTTCAGGGTCTAGCTTGAGAGTGCAGTTGCAGTCCAACCCCTATATAGACAGAATATATAGATAGTATGCACCATCAAGTGAAACACAAAGCATAATACAGAGGAGTAGACAGACAATGTATGAGTAGGCTTACAATAGGAATTGGTAGTGCAACAAAGGCTAGGTCAGAAGTGGTATATATAAGGGTGCAGGAATGTATATACAAGTCAGCAGTGGTGATAAGGGGTAGGAAAACACTTCAGAGCCCCACCTGCCCAGCAACTCCCAGATAATCTTATAAGTATAGGTTAACGCCTGGTTCTGAAGCTGTACAGGCATATCCCGAAGCTGTTTACTCTAGCACCAGGGGGGTAGAGTAAACAGCTGAGGGGATATCCAGTACCACTGAAGGTAACCAAGGCGTTAACCAATTTGTAGCCTAGCAACCGTACTAATTGCCTAGCAAGCATATCATTTTACCGGGGTTGTGAGAGAAATCGGTGGGCGAGACGAGGGAAAGGAGGCCGAGAGCAAGCTTGCGTGAACCCATGCTGCCTGTTGACCGTTTGTTCGAGCGATTACTACTTTAGCTAGCGGTGTAGCGTGCAATTGTAGCGGGCTGCTGTAGCGCGGACCAAGCAGAGAAGACAAGACTCCGCGCAGACCTGGAATGACGTTCTTTGGAGTCTCCTTCGTATACCACGTACGCTACAGCTCAGCTATGGTGCAGCTAAGCTGACATTTTTGAACAGCGTGTTCAAAACGACACAAGTGACGCACGGCACACAGCCCTCTCGCTCCAGCTCTCGCCTTTTTCTGGCTTGCGTGCGCATCTTCCCGCTTACTGGCTCCCACTTTTCCTTGCGTGCCAGCTTGGGATGTAGCCACAGCCATCTACAGCTTACATAAGAAAGGTCACTGGCCATTGTTTGCTCATGCATTAGATCCTTGTCGTAACCTGCGGCTACCCAGCCAGTGAATACTCCTATGACTCATTAAAGGCAACCACACCTCCTTGGGATAAGGTGTATTGATGTGCTGCTGCGTGGGTACTCTGGGAATAATACTACATTGGTGCTTGAAAATCAGCAAAAACTAGGCTCCAATGGCTGGCTATTCCTCCCACTGTCTGCATTACTCTCTAGCGTCAGCAATATTTGTTCTTAAATGCTCACAGCTGCCTTTCCTGACCAGGGTCAGCATGATAGGTGGCCCTAGCCACTGCCTTTGCCTTACCAGGGTCTGACGACAAAGGATCTCCTCTAGCTTTATCTTCTCAGAATTATGCCCATAATATCTACTGCCCTCCGTCTTTTTCGAGTGAAACGCAAAAACTTGAACTTATCTCAAAGGATGGAGAAGCCCAGGTGGCAGTGGTGACAGCAGAGCAGTGGTAGAGCGCAGTGGAGGGCCTGCGACTGAAAGAACAGGTGAGGTTCTTGTTATCAGCCACGACTGTCAGCAGAGAAGTGCTGGCTAGAGACCGAGGGGGTGCAGAAGGTTGAACTGGAAGGAGAGTCGTCAGGCACCCCTTATTAAAATAGGCAATGAGGGAATGCAGACAACTTGCAGGGGTTACCTTGAAACATAATTAACTGTGGCCACAAACCCAAGCTGCAGTAGAGTACAGACCTTGAGTAAATTATACGTGATGATAATTGCAATAGCAAGACTTACTTTTGACCGTGGCGACTCCAGCACAATACTCAGCAGTGCGGACAAGACAGACACGGAGTGTCACGTGAAGGTGACAACGTCAGAGTTGTGGCCGTCCCGTGGAACCTCGAAAGAAAATTGGCAATGAGCTGGATTGCAGCTAGCTAAAGTACACACAACAGTAGCTCCTTACCAAAAGACGGATAGCTAGGCCGAAATTCGGGAGCAAACCCAGGCGAGTGAAAAACCAGCGGCGCGCACGACGGGGACCACGTGGTCCGCTCTAACGCGCGCCGCGCCCCGCCCCTGTCTGGCGCATGCATGCGCACGGCCGGCTCACTGAGTGCTGAGTTAGCAGCAAATATGGCGTTGTCAGTGTCGACCATGGAAGAGCTCCATGATCTACCGTAGTGACTTGCGGCAAGAAGAAATGATCGCTTTGATGTCCGTGCACCCCTCCGCGAAATTGGAGACGTTCAGTGAAAAAATCAGCGCTTCAGCTGGTACTGGTAAGGAGATATCGGGTTTAAAGAAGAAGAGGAAAGAATATGATGACACGAAAATCAGAATGCGTTTAGCGTGATGAGCGGATCTCGTGTCGAGAGAAATTGCAGGGACGTATGGATGCAAACTTTTGGGCATATTTATAGGTAGAGATATGGACCCGTGAGAGAGAGATTTTGTGTGGTGTGGGTTGAAGGCATAGCTACCCATATGTTTGCGACCGCGTTTCGGGGCGTTGTATGCGGATCACGTGATATTTCACTCGTGTCATCCCTACATAGAGCGTCTACCGACGCTCTGATGAAGTACCACAAAACCTTCCTCCCACCACCACCTCCCAGCCCACCGTTACTGCTGCTGGAGACTCTCTCTATGAACCTGTGTGATGTGTTGATGTGTCTGCTGTTAGTTGCGGACGTGAATTAATTTGCGCATGCGTAGTTTGCCGGGGTCGGAGCGATATGCAATTACGCTGTTTTGGCGCTGGTGCAGCAGAAAAAAACGCAGCTATAACCGAAATGTAGTACTGAATAGTGATGAATTTCGCATCGTTATTGTTACTTCTCTGGTCTCTGGTGGAGGTCCACTCTCAGACTGTTCCTTATGTCTCCTTCATGAGCCAGACTCTGGCCAACCATTCCTATGTGGACATCAGTCAAGTGGGGAATGATGGCAGTGGTAGTGACAGTGTTCAGTGTCATCACTGACCTGAGCACATGTTGTAGTGGTGCTCAGGGTCCCATCGTGGAGACTGGTATTTCCCTGATGGAACTAGACTGCCATTCCAATGGAGTGGTGATATCTATGAGTTCCGTGATGCTCAGAGAGTTGACATACGTCGTAGGAACAATGCTAACTCACCAACTGGTATCTATCGCTGTGATATTCCAACTAATGCTGTCCATGATGATACTGACACCTCAGTGAGAGACACAGTCTATGTGGGACTGTATACTGCCAGTGGAGGTATAAACTGTCACATAAAGCTGTGATTTGCTCTGTAGCCTACAGGGACATTCCACGGATACCAGCAAAAACTCCCCCTTTTTCACTACGTTAGAGGATGGAATTTACTAACCCATCTCAATGTTTAGCACTATACAGTGCACGATATATGCATGTCTGAATACTGGCTGGCTGGATCCTTAGGTGGTAGTTTTAAAGTTGGCTAACTTAGCTATACACTATAATTACATCATTGCAGGAGACATCTCAATATCTGGAGGAGTGACATTTGACTCTGACCAGCTGACCCTCACCTGTATCTCCACTGGTGGACCTGCTACTACTGTCACTTGGACAAGAAACGATGTCAATATCACTGGAGAGCAAAATCAGACTATGTTGAATGACCCAGTGACTGCACAATACACCCACACTCTGACTATAGCTGCTGCAGGCGATTACACGTGTATGGTGTCTAATAACAAGCCATTCTCTGCCTCTGCTACAATCACTGTAACAGGTATTACAGTGAGTTATGTAGTAATATGCTAAGCTGTGAATCAAATCTTAGGACCTGAGGCTCCCACTGCTGTGACAGCAGTCCAGGATGGTCCCACTGGTATCCTAGTGTCTTGGAGTCCATCCAGTGATGCCACTGGCTACACCATCTCCTACACTGGAGGAGGCAGCAGTGGTAGTGAGACTGTCAGTGGTGGAGATACCAACAACTACACCCTGACTGGTCTCACCAATGGACAGACGTACATCATATCCATTGTAGCCACATCTAACAATCTGGCTAGTGACACTGTGACAGTAGACATGGCTGTTGGGTTAGGTAAGTCCAATACTTTCTTCAATCAATGATTCTCTGTATCCCGTGCAGTTCCTGGTCAGCCATCTGCCAGTCTTGACTCCACAACAGCCACTACCATCTCCCTCTCCTGGAGTGTTCCCAGTGGCTCAGTGGTGACTGAATACCTTATAGAATGGACTAGAGACACCTCAGTAGGCTGTTCTGATGAGGACACAGGCAGTACCACTATCACTGGACGTACCAGACACTACTATACCTGGACTAGAGGAAGACAGTAGGTATGCAGTCACTGTGACAGCCTCTAAGGAGCCCTGGAGAGTGAAGTCAGTAACCACAGTCACTGCAATGACATGGTGGCAGTGAGATGATGAGGGTTTTAATGCTAGTAGCTATGTGTATGGTCTTCTCCCAGGACCCATCTGCCGCTCCAAGTCGATGTGGAGGAAATCGAGTGAATCTCCTCTCCATCACTGTCCAGTGGGGAGAGTGTACCATGTGTCGATCAGAATGGAGCCATCACAGGCTACTCAGTCCAGTATGGAGTGATGGGGAGTGGGCAGCACACAGACTGTCGACTGTTAATGGAGCTGATGTTACTGAGACGATCATTGAAAACCTCATGTCATCCACTACTTACTCTATTGAAGTGGCAGCAGTCAACAGCGCTGGTACTGGAGAGTACAGTGATCCCAGAAATCAACTGACACGAGGTCTGAATTATCACATTTCATAATCTCATCATCATAAATATCATGTCACCAGTTGAGGCTCCAGTTGTGACGGTAGTTGAGTCTTCAGTGACAGCTACCAGTATCCAGTAACCTGGACAGTGGTGGCTCAGAGGGAGTCAGTTATGTGGTGGAGTGGGAATATGGTGGAGGGTGTCCTGGTATCAGTGGAGGCAGTCAGAGCATTGGTGTTGGTGGGGGCAGAGAGTACACTATAGAGGGTCTGGAGGAATACATCACATACTCCATTACTGTCAGAGCTAGCAATTCTCTGGGCAGTGTTGATAGTACTGCAGTTGATGGAAGAACCAGTGAAGCAAGTAAGTTTACCAATTGTGTAAATTCAATTTCATGACTATGTGTGGAACTGTAGGACCATCTGCTCCTCCAATCGACGTGACTGCTGATGGTGCATCAACCATCATCACTATCCAGTGGGGAGAAGTGCCATGTATCCATCAGAATGGAGCCATCACAGGCTACTCAGTCCAGTATGGGGTGGAGGGGAGTGGGAACACACAGACCCTAATATCCACGGGAAATGGAGCTGAAATATCTGGACTGGTAATCTCCACAAACTACACTGTCCAAGTGGCTGCCATAACTTCAGCTGGTGTTGGAGAATACAATGACCCACCACTCATTGTCAACACTGAGAGTACGTTCTACTGTAGCTTTACAACTACTTTCTATATGCTTTTCTCTTCCACAGCTGCAATCGCTTTGACCATAGTTGCTGCTACCACTACTTCCATATTGATCCAATGGGATGTGATTGAGGAAGCACAGGGATCAATAATGCCATCAGGATACAACATCTCCTACAGAAACACTGAATACACTGACTGTTTCACAAAATCCAACACCATCTCTATTCTTACTGATTCTCTTGGAGGAAACTACAATATTGTAGGTTTAGAGGAAGGAACAGACTATTCAATCACTGTAGCTCTCCTGATGGATGGTGCTGTTACTGATAGGAACACTGTCCTACAGGCTACTGCAGAAGCAGGTAAGAGTGTCTATGTTCTAATGGAAGGAGTTGTTTAATTTGTCTGCCTCTCATCAGCTCCGTCAGCCCCTCCATCTGAGGTGATGGTGGCCAGTGTGACCTCTTCGACCATCACTGTGGTGTGGGGAGAGGTACCTTGTATCCATCAGAATGGAGCCATCACAGGCTACTCAGTCCAGTATGGAGTGATGGGGAGTGGGAGCACAGAGTCTATGGCTGTTGATGGAGACTCCAGTGGAGGAATGGCCACAATCTCTGGACTGGAAGCAGCTACAATGTATGAGTATCAAGTTGCAGGAAGAACTAGTGCTGGACCTGGAGAATACAGTAGTACAATGACCACACTAACATCAGGTACCACTATACTCAAGTGCATACACAGTGTGTGTTCATTTTTTCTCCCGTTTAGTGAGAGCTCCAACTGTGATAGACTCCTCAGTAGGTCCATTCTCAATCTCCATCTCCTGGACCAGCTCTGGTCCAGTGGTGGAGAGATATGAGGTGGAGTGGCAGAGAGACAGCTCAGGAGTCTGTCCTGATGAACACATGGGCAGTGCCACTGTGTCTGGAGGGTCTGTTAGGAGCTATGACATCACCAACCTGTTTGGTGATAGTAGCTACAGCATCAGAGTCAATGCAACGAATGCTGCTGGGTCTGCAATCAGTGACCCACTAGTGGTATCCACTGTTGAAGCAGGTAATATCTCTCATGCATGAGGGCTTATGGATTACAAACTATATAATCAGTGGTGCATGTTGTATATACTATTGAAGAGACCCCACACATCTCTCATTCTCCCCAGCTCCCACAGCCCCACCTGCTAGTCTATCCTCATCCAGTGTCACTCCAAGCAGTTTCAGTATTCAGTGGGGGAGGGTGCCTTGTATCCACCGTAATGGAGACATCACAGGCTACTCTGTACTGGTTCATGGGAATGGGAGCATGCAGATGATAGATATCAATGACCCTGATGTTCTAACAACTGATATCTCTGGACTGGTGTCTGACACGATGTATCTGGTGCAAGTTGCAGGAGTCAATGGGCAGGGAACTGGGGTGTATCGAGACCTCGCTGTTACCACACCTCAAAGTTAGTTCTGTACACATACGAAAAAGCAAAAACGTACACAAACCAAGTTCCATTAGAGCAGTTTGTCTTTCACGCTAGTCAACAAGCTACTGAATCGAGAGGAATGCTTTTACTGAAAATTCCTCTGTACAATCTGTCAACACCATTTACAGAAATATGAATGGAATTTTGTTTCTGTAATCACAGCTGTATACCTCAACTTTGGTGGGATGAACCTCCCCACAAATGGTTTGGTGAACATCAGTCAACTGGGCAACTCCACTGATACCGGGTTGGTCTGCAGCACAGACCAATCCACGGATGGGACACCCACAGGTGGATGGTTTAACTCTGACGGAACAATGCTAAGCACCAGCAGCTCTGAGGGGTTCTTTGTCAGTGATGGATCTGACGGAGTGTACCTGTTGAGAGGCTCAGGGATACCAGTGGAGGGAATCTATACCTGCAGAGCCACCGACAGCTCTGGGAACTCTCGAACTGTCTTTGTTGGTCTCTACAATGAGCAGGGAGGTGGGTTAGCTAGTAGCTAGTTAGTTGCATTTGTTCTTATGTTCTTGTCTTGCAGGTGAAGTGGTGATTGGTGGGGAGATAGGGTTCACACTGGTCTCAGAGCTTACTGCAGAGGAGCCTCAGTTTACCCTGTCCTGTAACTCCACCGATGGACCTGCTACATCTGTCATTTGGACCAGAGATGCTGACACTGTTGGGGGAGGAACAACTGCATTGAATGATGCAGTGGCTGGACACTACACCCACACCCTGACTGTGACTGGGAGACTGGGAGGAGTCTACATCTGCACTGTTTCCAACAGCATTTCAACTGCTGCTAGCCAAGGACAAACCATATCAGGTAGACAACATCAGGGGGAGTTTGAGTCTTTCACCTGTATTCCCCACAGTTGCGAGTGCCCCTACTAATTTGATGTTGATTCAAACGGATGCTACAACTATCAGAGTGACCTGGACCCCCCCATCTCCACTGGGAAGTACCACTGGGTACACTGTATTCTACTCCAGTGCAGAGTCAAATGAGGCACTAGATGTCCGCGAGGCCAGCACCAGTGAGGTGGAGTTGATGAACCTGGCAGAGGGAGGGAGCTACTCTATATCCCTGGTGGCCAGATCCCAACATCTCCCCAGTCCAACACTCACTGACACACTGGACTTAGTCAGAGGTATTGGTGGGAGACATACTACACTCTAGAGTCTCTGTATATCTGGAGCTTGAAGAATAGTTAATTGAGTAGGACGTTGCATTATAATATTCTACATCCACCAGTCAAACTAATATCAATTTGGCCAAGCTGTGATTGGGACATTCTGTGTCTAACCCCATTACTACAAGTACTGGAGACCTTGTGATGTATGATTATCATTGACCTCTCCCTCAGTTCCCAGGAACCTGGAGCTGAGTGTGGCAGACACCACCGGCACCTCCATCACAGTATCTTGGACTGTAGCTGGAGGCCAGGTGGAGAGCTACGACATAGTCTGGGGGACTGGGCTTACTACAGAAGTGTCTGGCGAAGAGGAGAGCTATACTATTGAGGGTCTGGAGGAAGGAGAGAGCTATACCATCACTCTAACTGCCAGCAATGCTGCCGGGAGCACTACAGACGACATCACTGCATCCACAACTCCAGGTATAATACACTTGGATTTTGTATTCTCATTGGGACCTTCTGAAGGAATGCATGACATGTTGTTTTGAATAAACTTTCAAAATTCTATTTCCCTATGGTCCCACAGCCGTATACCTCAACTTTGGTGGGATGAACCTCCCCACCAATGGTTTGGTGAACATCAGTCAACTGGGCAACTCCACTGATACCGGGTTGGTCTGCAGCACTGACCAATCCGCAGATGGGACACCCGCAGGTGGATGGTTTAACCCCGACGGAACCATGCTAAGCTCCAGCAGCTCTGAGGGGTTCTTTGTCAGTGATGGCTCTGACGGAGTGTACCTGTTGAGAGGCTCAGGGATACCAGTGGAGGGAATCTACACCTGCAGAGCCACCGACAGCTCTGGGAACTCTCGAACTGTCTTTGTTGGTCTCTACAATGAGCAGGGAGGTGGGTTAGCTAGTAGCTAGTTAGTTGCATTTGTTCTTATGTTCTTGTCTTGCAGGTGAAGTGGTGATTGGTGGGGAGATAGGGTTCACACTGGTCTCAGAGCTTACTGCAGAGGAGCCTCAGTTTACCCTGTCCTGTAACTCCACCGATGGACCTGCTACATCTGTCATTTGGACCAGAGATGCTGACACTGTTGGTGAAGGAACAACTGTATTGAACGACGCAGTGGCTGCCCACTACACCCACACTCTGACTGTGACTGGGAGACTGGGTGGAGTCTACGTCTGCACCGTTTCTAACAGCATTTCAACTACTACTAGTAGTGGACAAAACATAGAAGGTACGTATGATACTGAAGGTCAGGGTGAGATGGTAATACTAGTGCTTTCCCCCACAGTTGCCTCGTCTCCTACAAACTTGATGGTGACTCAAGAAACACCAACCTCTTTCAGGCTCTCCTGGACTCCTCCCTCTCCACTGGGAGACACCACTGGCTACACCATCTCCTACACTGGAGGAGGCAGCAGTGGTAGTGTGAATGTTGCCGGTGGCTCAACCGACAGCTTCTCACTGACTGGTCTCGATAGTGGAGAGACCTACACTATTTCCCTTATTGGAAGGTCTCGACATATCCCTAGTGCTGCAATCACAGCTCAAATTGTACCAAGTGAGGCTGAAATAGTATTCGTATTCCAAAGGGTTAAGTTCTTCGGTTTTAGTCCCAGCTCCAGGACAGGTGTTTGTGTCAGTGAGCTCCATAACAGCCACCTCCATCTCCCTCTCCTGGAGTGTGTCCAGTGGGAGGGTGGCCAGTTGGGAGGTGGTCTGGAGACCCACTGACAGAGGCACTGAGAGCACCAGTGGTCCTCTGTCTGGCACTACCTACACCATCCAACAGTTGGACCCCTCCACTAACTACACACTCACTGTATCAGCCACTAATGTAGCTGGAACTACTGACAGCACTCCAATACTTTTCTCTACAGGTGGTAAAGTCAAATTGGCACTTTAAAAAAAAAATTCTTACCACATATTTTGGTGTCTAATTTACAGCCAGTAATCAAGCAACGAGTTCATCGAGTGAATTAGAGAGTGGTGCGACCATTGGTGGAGTGGTAGGGGCTGTATTGATCATTGCTGCAGCGACCCTCGTTCTTAATGTGGCGATAGCTCTGCTACTGAGACGTCAGAGAGGCAACTACTCCACCTCTGCCAAGAGGAGGCATGCCTAATACTCCTCACTCACCACAACCTATTCTATGTATGCTGTACACACACAGAAGTGAGATGGTGGGTGCTCCTGGATCTGCTGCTACAGTTCTAGAACTCTCCAAGTTATCAGATATAACTTATGCGTAAGAAACACCCTCAATAATAATAATTTTGAGGATTCACTCAATGCACGTTCGTCTTTTCCGCAGAAGTCCGTTCCAGACCACCAGTAATGAGGCCTACAATGTAGTGAGAGGGACTGGAAGGACAGCTGAAGTTGAATATGAAGTACCACAAAACCTTCCTCCCTCCACCTCATCGTTCCAACCTGCAGCTGGAGACAACACCTATGAACCTGTCTGACACTGACACTCTGTGTGTATAAATGATGTGGTAGCTGAAGCATTATATTTTGTCTTCACCTTTGTTTTTACTCGTTTTTATCAATTGCCATTTGACATAGTTTTTTTATATCACTCGTAGAAGATACACGATACTAGTAACTCGAGATATGTCAACCACCCCACACCATGATAATATAGAGTATAATGTGTGAGCGTGATAGGTTGTAGAAATGAACACTTTATTGAAATTATTAAGACAACTTATGAAGAATGGCTGTTGTGACATCATACAGCGTTTTGTAGTACTGTAGACGCCATACAGTTGTCCTTTTTGTGGACTGTATGTAATTTTCGAAACTCACAGGCGAATTGAAATGTTGGTGCCACAGTATTAATGTGTATATGGAGACCCCATCTTCTCATTCATGACCAGGAAACATTGACTAGTGATTGCATTCATTGAGTGTTTTGACTGTCACTACTCTGTTGGTAACAGTTATTGCGGCTCCAACCAATACCCCAGAGGACCACCACTTGTGTTATGGTGTTTAAAATTCCAAAAACTAGCGTGTGAGTACGTAATATACACGTATGTATATAACTAGCAACAAACACTGCTGGATATGCTGAAGACACAAACACAGGTAGGGGATATATGGACATCAGCCAAATCTAAAACTCTGGGACCAGTGGGAAGTTGATAGTGAGCAGGAGCGTGGCTTACGGTTCAGCATCCACGTATTTGGAGAGAGCGAGGGCCTTTAGCTTGAGGTGGTGCAAAAGTGGAAAATGAATCCCTCCCTCACTCCGCCGTCCACAGGGAGCAACCTCATCTGGAGACACACACACCATAGTACACCTCACTATACAGATTAAGCTCTGGCCTCTACCAAACACAACAAACTCTTATAATAATGGACACTCTTTAACAAAATGACAACCTTTCATAAGAACACTATCCAATGAACTTTCAATAAGGACAGTGTGTGAATATTCCACTGCAAAGTGTCTGTGTGTGGCTTACAGCACAACAGTGCACATAAACCTTACTTTAATGACCTCTCATTTTTCAACTCCCGGGGACGATTGAAAATGTATCAGTGTTTTTACGTTCTGTTTGCGTTTACGCTGTGAGGACAGTTACTGCACGTGCTCTTCGCTGTGTCCCTCAGGAAACAACGGCAAAAGGTGCATGAAAAGGACAGCTAGAGACCTAGTAAGCGCCTAAGCTCTAGTAAAACTCAGTGGTTGTGAGTGTGGGATTGAATTAGTCCCTCCCAGCACTGTCTGTTGGACCCTGCTCTGGCTCCTGTACCGAAGTATCGTGACGGCAAGGACTTAAAGTTCCACTGCTCGTGCAGGTAGACACGTCCCAACCTCTCATGTTGCTGCTTCATTCAGTCACCGCTTCCCCGAGGTCTCTCTCTCACTCCTCACATCTCACACTCCTCACACATTGTCACTTTTCTCAGTAATGTTTTATACAGTTCTGGTTTTCTGGCGTCATCAGTTGAGGCCTTCAGTAAAAGACTACCATGTGGTGGTGTTCTGATATGAGGTAGTGTAAAAAGAGACAACAGTTTGTATATAAAAGTTTGCACCCTATATGCGTGGCGCATATAGTAGAATTCAACCATGAAGTTATATAATAAAGTGTGTGAATAAGGAAACGTAATTATGTAGTCTTCTCTCTCTCCACAGAGGGTATGGTGACACGGACCAGCCAGTGGGGTCCTCAGAATACTCCTTCAACCACCTCACTGCAGACATTGTCGAACTCATCCCCGCCCTCGGCCACTCCTCTTGCGTCCTCGTCGGCCATGACTGGGGAGGCGTGGTCTCATGGTGAGGGGTGTGGTCAAACACCAATGAATTTAATTACATCTTCCTAATTGCAGGAGAGTAACTCAGAGGTATCCGGAGTTGGTTGATAGACATATTGTCCTGAACTGTCCTCATGGAAGGTTCGAAATTTAATGTTAGTTGACTAATGTTAATGTGGCTTTCAATTTCACTATGTAGGGTGTTCAAGAAGTTCCTTGAGAATAGCTGGACACAGTTGAGGAGATCTTGGGTCAGTTTCTCATCCACATTACTCTAAACTACTCTCTCTCTCTCTCTCTCCCTTTCCTCCAGTTCATCTTCTTGTTCCAGATCCCGAGACTGCCTGAGGCTCTGATCAGTCTCCAGGACTACCAGTTTCTGGAGCAACTCTTCACCAGCCACACCTCAGTATGTAGCCCGTTGTGTAGGTCTCTTTCACTATAGCAGAAAGAGGTAAACTATAGGTTTGAGGTACCTTCATGCATAAGTGTCTTCATTCACACTCTCAAGTTTTTCCTGGCAATCTTAGCACCAAACTGATTTCTTCTCAATGGTCTAGCGAAACTGTTTTCTGCATGTTGCCTGCCGCAGGGAGTCAAGAACAGAGATCAGTTCCCGGCTGAAGTGGTGGAGGCCTACAAGTACACGTTCTCCAGGCCGGGAGCCCTCACTGGACCCATTAACTACTATCGTGCCATGTTCTCATCTCCCAAGGACAGCTTGCCTCGCGAGAAGTGGACAATTTCTGTCCCAACTCTCATCATATGGGTACACAACAAACATACAAACACTATAGAGTGATCCCAGAGCCCTACATAATCAATGTGCTCTATATAGAAAATTACGAATGTGCTCTAGAAAAATCATTTACCACTATGGTTTGTAAGACGAGTGCCCAGCAGTATTTGGTAAGTGTGTGTGTAACTGTTGGTACAGGGAGATGATGATCACGTGCTGCAGAGAGAGATGGCAGACTGCCACGACACCATCTGCTCTGACCTGACTGTGAAGTTAGTGGGAGATTAGGTTGTATGACAGTGTTTCCTCTCTCTCTCTCCCTCTCTTCTCCTCTCTCCAGACATATTCCCAACTGCAGTCACTGGGTCCAGCAAGATGTGCCTGACCTCTGCAACCAGTACATGACTGACTTTCTCTCTACTAAATCTGTTTCAATGTAGTTTATGTGTACTACTTGTGGACATTACACATCTTGTTATTAAAGATGCTAGCACATGAGTATAGTATAAACGCCAGTGGAGGGCTGGAATTTTCTGTTTTCCATATATGTGCACATTGGGAGGGTTTTATCTCTGCCATCCATCAGCCTGTGATAACTCAGTTGCTCAGTCGTGGTGTGGAGTGATGTGCAACAGATCAATGATGAGAATTGTGTCTCTGTTGAGTCTCCTCTGGTCTCTGGTGGAGGTCCACTCTCAGAGCTTTCCTTATGTCTCCTTCATGAGCCAGACTCTGGCCCACCATTTCCTATGTGGACATCAGTCAAGTGAATGATCGCAGTGGTAGTCGACGGTGTTCAGATGTCATATCTGACCGGCACACGCGTGTGTTAGTGCTCCAGGGTGACAGCGTGAGACTGTTTTGCTTCCCTGATGGAACAGACTGCCATTCCCTGGAGATGGGTGAATCTATGGAGCAACGTGTAGGCTCAGGAGAGGACCTACGTCGTAGGACACACATGCTAACTCACCAATCTGGTATCTCTCGCGTGTGATATACTCCCACTGTGTGCTGTCAGGATGATAGTGACACCATCAGTGAGAGCAGCACAGTCTACGTGGGACTGTATACTGCCAGGAGGTAAACTGTAATTATTGGGCTACTTCCATTTCTGTTAGTATACAGCTAGCATGAAGCATCGATAATTACACTGCTTTTGGACCACATGCATGCCTATTCCATCCGCAACTCACTCACGCACGTAACGTGCTATAGTTTGCGATTAAGCAATTAGGACCGTAGGCTGAGTTCTTTACTGTAGGAGACATCTCAATATGGAGGAGTGACATTTGACCCTCGCCAGCTGACCCTCACCTGTATCTCCACTGGTGGACCTGCTACCACTGTCACTTGGACCAGAGACAATGTCATATCACTGGAGAGCAAAACGAGACTGTGTTGAATAACTCAGTGACTGCAGAGTACACTCACACTCTGACTGTGACTACTGCAGGAGAGTACATGTGTACTGTGGCTAATAACAAGCCATCTTCTGATTCTGCTAGCACTGTTGTAGCAGGTATTAATAATATACAGTCAGTACTATACAGCCATAGCCGAATGTCATCAAACCTTGAGATTAGGAAGAATAGCTAACTCAGATCAGCTGCACCTGTTATCATTGCAAAACCCATATGCATGCATGAGCAGGGTAGCTAATGATGGGTGGGCCACTGTCAATTTATGCAAGGTTTCTCTAGCTCATATAGAGTCTGACAAGGCTAATAGAGAGATAGCGTTTTAGGCATTGCTGGACTCGATACTGCCTCAGTCATAACTTCTGATGCCTCACACAACGTTCACAACGGAGAGCGGACTCTAGTAAGACAGTGGTAATTAGACTACTAGGCAATAATAGTCCACTTGCATGTGCCCGCCATACTTTGGACGAAGTATTTTTACGAAAATAGCCGTAATTACAAAAATCAAGCCAGTGTAGCGCCTAACCTGTTGGCATAGCTTTGTGCAGTGTCATTCTCCTAGTTGCAGAACAGTGGTAACAGACATAGCAGACACACAGTACTGTAACCTTTGCTGCACATCGCATCGAGGTAAAAATTAATTGCATTCTTGCACTGGCCCTACTGTTACAGCTAGTAACATTCCTAAATTTAGCCCTTGTCTGTACTCCCAGATACCCTTAACTTGGCAGTAGAAGGTGATCTCAGGAGTGAAAAAAACTGGAGGTTTCATTGTACATTGAGGCTGCTCCTATGACAATGCAGTTAGGCAGATTGGTTATCATTACAGCGCTCCGTGCTGTCCGTCATGCATTCTTAATTTAGGCTCCCCCATCTCCCACTGATGTTGACAGCAGTCCAGGATGGTCCCACTAGTATCACAGTGACCTGGACTCCTCCCTCCCTCTGGATGGTATCACTGGCTACACCATCTCCTATACTGGAGGGAGAAGTGGTAGTAGACTGTCGAGTGGTGGAAACACTATGATCACACTCTGACTGGTCTCACCAATGGACAGACCTACACCATATCCATTGTAGCCACATCATCTGGCTTGTCTAGTGCACCAGTACAGGCCACTGTTGGTTTAGGTATGTACAACATTGGCAGCAGATGAAGTGATATTTCCTACAGTGTCTCACACGACTTGCGTTGTCTCAGATATTTCATGA